CCAAAATAAGTCGATTTAAGTAAAATTACCTCAGTACAAAGTTGCTTCGTTTGGGCTCCAGAGGGCCTTGAAGTTACAATTTTTAAATTGTTATTCCCATATAAATTTAAAACGGCATATGCGATTTTGCTGAAAAAAATGGTATTAAAATTTTGTTCAATAATAATACATAGGCGTAGAACTTGATTTTTTAAATAATTGCGCCTTTAAAAATTCTACGCCAATGGAAGAAAAGGAGTTTGAGTATGAAATTTAGATTGCGCAACTCATTTACTTTAAAAAAGGTACTCTTGATAAGACTCTATTACTCTCATGGTTTTCGCTAAATTTCTGTTTTAATAATTTAGAGTGTATAGGTTTCACAAAAATATTTATTTACAACATAATCAAAATAGAGATTTTACAAAAATTGTTCAAAATGTTCACCATTTTCACGCATACAAAGATTTATACGTCGAAGAAAATTAAAATGTATCCTTTCCATAACTTCTTAATCACCTCTAAGATTGTTTATTGCATCTTGAATACGTTGCCAGAGTTGTTCCTCATTTTCTACAGGTTCCCTGTAAACTGTGGATTTCAGATGTCCCCATAAAAAGTAATCCATCGGTGTTAGGTCTGGGGAACGTGGTGGCCAGTTTACAAGTGCGTTATTACCTCTGCCTATCCATTTGTGTGGATATTGTTCATTCAAGTGGTTTCTAACGTTTAAAGAAAAATGTGGTGTAGCTCCATCTTGCATAAACCACATATCTCTTCAAAGTTGGAGAGGTAAATCTTCTAACAATTCTGGCAACGTATTTTGTAAAAAATCCAAATAATTTTCTCCAGTTATTCTTCGTGGAAGTATGACAGGACCAACAATTAAATTACCAATTATTCCAGCCCACACATTAATTTTGAATTCATGCTGAAAATGGTTTACCTTTATTGCATGCGGATTTTCAACGGCATAAACATGTTCATTATGGGTATTAGTTATACCTCTTCTTGTAAAACCCGCTTCATCGGTAAAGAGAACCTTCTTGACAAAGTTTAGATCTCTTTCTCTTTGCATATTAACAAATCGACAAAAACCCAAACTAATTTGAGGATCATGGACTAATAATTCTTGTACTGGCTTCTTATGGTATGGATATAGCAATTGTTCTCTAAGCACTTTATGAACGACATCTTTACTTACTCCTAGTTCCCTTCCAATTCGTCTAGTGCTTAATTCTGGATCTTCTTCAACACGTTCCAAAATGTCTTCTTCAACTTCAGGAATCCTTACAAAACGTTCTCTTCCATTATAAACAGTGTTGTGAGCAAAGGAACCGGTCTCCCGAAGACGCCTCTCAACAGCAGCAAAAGTTGGGTGGCGAGTATTTTTGTTAAAAGTCTCGATTAGAGGTGTTGAAGAAGATATAAAAAAAGTACATTGTTATGTTTTTCATCGTATAAAATTTTGTCCGATAATAATACATAGGCGTAGAACTTGATTTTTTAAATAATTGCACCTTTAAAAATTCTACGCCAATGGTCTAAGGAATATGTGGTATGTTTTTGTAAATACCTTTTACAGACACCCTGTATATTGATTTAGATTGTATAACTTTAACTTCATTAAGTAATATATTGGGGAAGATAAGTGATACGCCCTTTACTGTAAACTAATGAACTAAATAAAGTGGCCATTTGACATTTGACGTTCTGTCAAGTTTTGTTTACTGTTTATCAGGTCATGTCAATAAATGTTGTTTTAAAGTATTTTATTTGAAATATCTTATTTAATAATAAGCTATTGAATTAAGTTTTTATCATTTGTATTAAAATATTATATTATTTGGCATATAAGTGGAATATCAGTGGAAATACACTTGTTGTGTGCCTCAATGCAGCTCTGAAAAAGAAAAAACTGACTGCTCTTACACTTCATCTGCAAAGCTAGGGTACTTTTTATAAAATGCAAGTGGAAATTCTGACCTTGTAGATGCAAGAAATGCATGGTTACAAAAGTTGAAAATTGAGAAGCCAGTATCAAAGTATTTGAAAGTGTGTTCCTAGCATTTTAAAGATCATTATTTGCCTAGAGGTAATATAGATTTATTTTTCGATTGAATGTTTTTATTTTACCTTTTCTTTTGTTTCAGATGCCTTATCTTAAGTGAAAATAAATATTAAAAAAAAATCACTGCGCCTTCCTACAAGTTTTTAAGAAAATGTTTGACGATTCTATTCGAGCCACTTCAAAATAAAATATTGAGACAGCAGAATAAGAATAAAGAAGATCCAAACTTAAGCCAGTTCAATCAGTGTTAAATGTGATAGTGAGAACAAGTCATTTGAGAGTGATTTGTTTCAAGATAGCCTAGCTACTCACACCGAACAAGACATACTCTTTTGTTGTTAGTAGAAAATAGGGTGAATAGTAATGTACAAGGAAATAATAAAGATAAAGGTAGGCAAGTTTTAAAGTATATTGACATTAATGTGTCAGTGCATACTCTAAAAATTTAAACAATAATGGTTTTTATTTTTTTAGGCGAAAACTGTGCATCATACGAAACTAAGTTTATGAACGAAATTTGCTGCAAAATAATTGAGGATTTCAAAAATAGTTTTGGTTTTTAGAAAAAGCGGTGGCGAAACATTTTTATTTTTTTAAATATTCAGTTTAATCCTCGTACGGGACGTCAATGGTAAAAATAAATAAAAGTAAAAAATAAAATAAAATAATGATTAAAAGTGTCCCAACGGAACTCATTTGATTCAACCAATGGACGTAGCTGTCTTTAGAACTTTAAAGGCTAGGTGAAAGGAAAATACAAAAAGATTGAGAGTTGAACATAATGACAGTCCTTTTTTTTGTCCATTACTGAAAAAAGCAATAATTTATGAGAGGCTTAGACCAGAAATATTCAAGAATGGTTTAAGTAAATGTGGACTGCGATACACATGTAGAGGGTTTAGAATTAAAACATGATGAAAACAAATTTAAGTGTATCTGACCTATCATAAGGCGATGTTGAATATTTCTCAGGGGTTGTGTACTTAAGGGGATGATTACAATAAAAACTAATCGATTACCTTACGTGGTTTTATTTAAGTTGATTTCTTGGACCGGGACAGTCTGATTATCTTCTTTTTATTTCTTTTTTCTGGTCTTGCCATGTGGAAAATAGTGAGGTTATGTTACACGATGTTAAATGACCCAAATATTTTACAAATGATTATGTTTAAAAAAGCTAAATAATCTCAATATGGAATATTGCAACATGAGGTATTTATATATTATTATTACCCCTATATGTTATAATATTAGATTCACTAATTTCAGATGGACCTTAAATATGCATATTTTCGGCGTACAACGTGATTCGTAATCAAATATTTTATGAAGCATTCAATGCTTGAAATAATCGGACAAGTTCAATATATTGTTAAGACATGGTAAGTTTATACTATGAACTAATTAAGTTGATAAAAATTTACAACTAAATATATATGTACAAATTCGAGTAGCCTAATATTTCTCAAAATATATCACGCAGTTTCAGGTTGTTTCAATGTTCAATAACGCAATCCGGAATCCCGAGTTACCTTGTATAGCAGGTTAGGGGATGAGATTAGGTATACCTCCGGTATGAAACCAGTGGATGATTTTCCGTGGCTAGTGTCTGGATCTATCGCAAGGGGATGAGACTAGGGACTTATGGGACAAGTCAATGATTCCCCATGGATGGTCTGGATGAAGATGTCTTCGAAGGCGACGTTTACAGAGGAATATAACGTCGGAAGTTATGTACAATAATTGTGGATATGTTTGGAGAAATAAGAGGAAACATAAAAATATAAAAAAAGAATGCCTAAAAGATAGAGAAACGTAAGTATCTTTATATATTATTAATAATAAGTTTTTATTTAAAGTACCTGTGATGGGTTGTGACCTCTTAGATTAATAAATTTACTCAGGGCCTCCTGATCAAAAGTTTCTGAGACTAAATCCATCTCTCGGTTGTCGAATTTCTATTCAATGGAACAATTCGGATCTCTCAAATCGTAGAACTTTTGGAAAAATCCACAAAAATGTTTGGACATTTGTTCTTGACGAAAGCTCTCATAAGAAGAACAAAATGGCATATTCCCTTTTAATAAGACCCTCCAAATTATTAAATAATTTGTTAGTTTATAAGTTCCAATACTTGAAAAGAGACTAACTTATGTCTAATCTAGTTGGTAGACAAATACAAAACATTTTAATTAAAAGTCTAGTTTTAGTACATTTCTTTGAACTGGTAGATGAATGAATGATTACTTAATTCATATTACTAATCATTCATTCTAATTGTCATTCATTAAAATCGACTTCTGTGACTTATGACATGTAGATATTATGAAAATGTAAACAAAACCAATTTAATAATTTGGTTACCTTTCGAAATGATTTTAAGTTGTTTTGAAATGTAACAAATAGTAAAAAATTGTTTATTATTAAGATACTTATGTCCTCTTTCCTTCTAGATAAATTCTACATGGATTCCCAATTTAAAATCTACATGGATTCTCAAGTTTAAAATAGTAAGGAAATTTTAATGGAAGTAAACAAATGATAAAATATAAAATAATTCACTAGATTTATTGTAAGTAGCATTTATTTTAGGTTTTAGAAATGCAGTTTATGTTAAATTAGTCCTAAATAAATTCTATTAATCCTAAAAATCCTATAATTTCTTTTATCCTGTAACAACTGGTACTATGGAATTCAAACGCAGATCAACTGATAAACGAGCCTGCAAAAACAGGCTTAACAGAAGCAGGAAACCTAAGCCAACTAAAGGAATTGGAACAAGGGATGCGTTTTTTAGAGAAACACATTGAAAAAGACAAGCTGGAAGAATTTAGAAGTGATTTATGGGAAGGTAGTGCAAAAGATATTTCATTAGTTAAATTATATAAAACAGTGACTGATGATATTAAAAAGTTCAAGAAAAATTATTCATACTGAAAATCATGCACAGGAAAAAGAAGGAGAAGAAGAAGGCGAAAACACAGCAGACAGACAGCAGAAGTCGATGATAACAACAAAGAAAACGTTGAAAATTAAAAGAAGACAGCAGACAGACAGCAGAAAACGGGGAAAACAACAAAAAACCGTTAAAAATAGGAAATATTTAGAAATACACAGTAGACAGACAGCAGAAGTCGATTATAACCACAAAGAAAACGATGAAAACAACAAACATTTAAAAGAAGGGAGCAGACAGACAGCAGAAGTCGATGAAAAATCTTGTATACATACAGATGTTAATTCGTTTGCCATACCATCAACCAGTAAAGAAATGACGCTCATTAATATTATCAGCAATATGATTATTTGTAGCCCGGATTTCAAATCCAGCATCAGCCAAATTGATAAATTAATACCATCTCCTTTTAAAAGGGCTTTAATTTGGCCAGAACCAAAACCTATTAAAAAGAAAAGACAAGTGAAGGAAAAAAATCTCTCAGTGATAACATCAAGACAATGGCAAATTTACTATAAAAACAAGGAGAGAAAAAAAGAAAGAGGAAGATAAAAAAAGAAAGAGGGCCGAAGAAAGACAAAAGAAAAAGTAATTGAAAGTAAAAACAAGAGAAGAAAAAACTTATAAAGAAAATTAATCAAAAAAGAAATTGAAATTGCAACGAAGAAAAAGTACATCTGATTCTGATAAATCGAAAGAGTGGGAAGCTTCTGAAAACACTGATGATGAAGTATCTTTCATAGAAAATTCGGATGAATCTTTTGATCTACCTATTATAGAGTCCAGTGAATATAAGGAAAATAATTATATCTTGGTATTTTCCCTTTGGAAAGAAAAGAGAACATAAATAGGTATGTGTTATCCAGACACTGCTGCCGGATGGCAATGCTGAAGTTGTAGGAATGAAAAGATGTGAAGATGGAAAATCTTTTAAACTAAATGAATCTGATGTTAGAGTCGTTAGTATAAATCAAATAATAGAAAAACTGGCTTTTCCTAAGATAACAACTAGGTGATGCAGAATAATGACGTAAACAAAAGCTGTAGAATAAGGAAAGTAATTTATAAAGTTAATACTTTTTATCAATCTTAATTAGAGAATATTTTGTAAAAAACGTAACTATATTTTGTTAGTGATAGATTGCGCTACCTAGCGGAAAACTACGGATCTAACCATTTTTAAACTTTCTAGGATATAGGGTTTCCAAGATACGACCGGTCGCCACACTTAATGAGTCACCCTGTATATAGTAAACGGAATAACTTTATAGAAATCGATGAAATGACTTTAGGTAATAAGTATGTAGTTGCAGATTCTTTTGAACACAATTAATTCCACGAGACAAGCAACCATACGGTGTTCAAACAAGTATTAGAAATTAAAAATTTACACACAGACACACACACACTCAGACACACACACACACACACACACAGACATCATCGCGAAAATAGTCAAAACGGATTCAGGGGACCTCAAAACGTAAAAATCCGTCGAAAACTCGAGGTCGAAAAAAATCATGATTCCTATACTTTCCTTATATCTGTATACAGATAGGAAAGTAAAAAATATCGCGACGAATTGATAACCTTCTCCTTTTTTGAAGTCGGTTAAAAAAGTACCTATTAATAACAACTGGAAAATCTTTCATGTAAATTTGTATCTGTAAACTGTAAACACCCGATACTACATGAGCTTATAATTATATATTCTGAAGCACCGGTTTCTATTCGCAAAATCTATACATAAAATAAATCACCTAATACTTAATACTTTATACTATTAATGTTCGCAAGATTTATTTTATAGCCTACCTTCAAGCGAGCTTTTCCTTTAAAAATATTTAGATTTTATATCTCAATGAATTATTATAATCGTAAAAGTTGGCTCTTAGATTTTAAAAAACTTACAAAGACCTCTTAATAGAACAAAGTGCCGTACCTACAGTAATAAAAGAGATATCATAAGATTGTAAATTAAGTAGACACTTTCATGCGGATATCCAATATTAATGAAAGGTTGGTGGCTAGTTGTTTTACGATCGAATTTAGGCTTTAGGCCAGCTATTATTTTAAATTTAATAGGTACGTACCAAGCTTTCCATTTAGAAATAGTATTGTAATATGTAATGTAATGATATTAAGCAATTTTAATCAATCTTCTCCATAAGCCCAACTAGATGGAGGGGACAAAAGGAGGAATAACTGCCTCCCCTGAAAAGGGCCCCACCATATTTTACTTTATAAATTTTTTATTTTATAAATTTTTCACTTTATGAATTTTTTAGTTTATGAGTTTTACGTTATGCATTTTTTACTTTATACATTTTTTTTTTATGATTTTTTACCTTTATGAATTTTTTACTTTATTTAAAGTTTCTAATTGCTAATGTTAGCTACTTGCATTAAGATAGCCACATCATGTTTCCCTTATTTTTAATACATATTTGTTAAACAAAGTTTGTTTTATTTTTAGAAAACATAAACACACTGTTTGGAAAACCCTTTATGTACAAAGGCATTATTTTTGAATAAATTTGAACTTGAAATTATTAGATTACCTTATTATTTTTCTTATGTACCTTTCTTAAGTTTGTGACCTCTTTACACAACGGTAACTGAAACGAACCGCATTCAAGGCAGAGAGATAATTTGAGGTATTTAATTAAAACTGTTAGTATTTAAAGAAAAACTCCTCCAAGGAATGGCTATAAAATAAATCTTGCGAGCAAGCATTAATAGCAGTGATTTTTAAAGTATTAAATTATTTATTTTACGATTAGTGTTTGGATAGTTTTATGTAGGAATACCTATTCATGTAAATAATTAATTTGATTTTTATTATATCAAAAATCAATTTTTATTGGTTGCTAACAGTGGCGGCTTGTGATGAAAATATGGGGGTTCACAATGACAGAATATAGATCTCTCAGATTTGGATAAAAAAGTTTTAGTGTTTTAGAAAGGTATATTATCCTGATATAACTCTTTGTTGTGAGGAGGAAAAGCAATTTAATTTTTTGTACGTAAGTTCAGATTATGGATGTCCGTTCTTAACTTAATTTTGTTGTAAAAGTACAGGGGACTTTTCGTTTTTAAAATTTTATAGAAAAACAAGAGGAATGAAGCTTTCTACGGTCATACATACTTATTTACTTATCCAATCTAGTTCCTTCAATTTATGAGAAATTCTATTTCTTCTCCCAGTGCCATAAATTAATCATAAGCATGAATTTTAAATTTTCTAAATACGTTATACATCCGACTTTCTGAGAAAAGGACCATAAACAGTGTCACAATAAATAAATTGTAAAAAGAACTAATGAATCCGTTAAAATTTTTTTTCGACACCAACAAGGATTATTAGATTAACTACGTACAGACTGCAAAACGAAAAAGTATGCCATTGCGTTTAACTCAACGAATATATCGCTGTGCTTGAACAATACTAGGACAACTTAAAAAAAGTCATTTCGAGAAAATCGACTTTTAATGCCGTAATTTTACTTAACTTTTTTATTACTCAAATTAATAATAAGATCTTAACGTAGTTCGTTGTGATTTGTACATAAACATTTACAATGAATGTTATTATTGTTATTAGGTGTCAACTTTTTTTTTAAATAAATATTTTGTAAGATGTCCTTGTATTGTTCTAGTAAAAAAATAATTTAAACACATTTTCAGAAGTTGTCTGAGTTTTTGTTTTAAGTTATCTTAGTATTGAATTGACTTATTGTTTATTTATTTAAAATTATACCTCTTTTCGTTAAAAGTATCTTTGTATTGTCCTATATTTTTTAGATAATTAGCAAACTTATCTCTATTTTTTAAATTTTTAGTTAACCTTGTATTGCACGGTTTTCACTGTAAATTATGTTTATTGTCTTTTTTTTTAATTTGTAAGTTGTCTTTCGAATATTGCGTTAAAGAAAAACAGTTATAGTAAAAAATAATATTTATTTCCACAATGTTATTCTTGAATAAAAAAGTGCTTATTACAACAAAATATTAAAAAAAACAAATCTCCGCTCTAAAAGTTAACCAGGTACTATTTTTTCTATTAAAAAAAATATTACTAAAAAAACTACAAATAATTGCATAATAAACAACACAAACAAATCGGGTGATACATTAAATAAAAATAATGGAAACATTTAAACAAATTTATTCGCTATCTTCATACTCTTTTTGGCCCTTTTTTAAGGCTTTTAAGTTTTTAAAAAAATCATGGTGATCTATTGGTACATGTTTCAGCAAACTTAACAAGTCCTCTTTTTTTATAAGTTATTTTGGGCCTGTCAATATATGCTGAAGTAAGTATATCATCGTCATTTTTTTTACTAATATTAATTTGTTTGAAAGTATCCGTGTCAAAGGTATTTTTATAATAAATTGTATTTGGATCATCTTTAGTTATACGCAACATTTTTATATTGCTCCAATATACTTTCTCACCATCCGTATTTTCTTACAACGTAAATAAACATAATAGCCATAAATTTATTTTTATTTTGACCCCCGCAGTTGTCCGAATAAAATGTAACATTTTTTCCAATGCAGTTGTTTATAAGCAAATTATAAACACAAGTTGAAATTTCATTACTACCTCTACGGGCTTCCCCTTCGTGCCACAAATAACATATTCCAGCTTTATTAATGAGATCGAAAGCAGTGAAATTGAGACAATTTAGCTTACTTTTATAGTAAAAACTAGAAATATTTCCGCAAGGTAACGGTATTACTGCTTGCAAATCAAAGACATAAACAGCGTTTGTATCTTTATTTAATGTTGCTAACTCAATATCTGTAGCTTTTTCTTTGCGAGATAGTTCCTTTTCAAGTTGATGCGAATCATATTTTTCTTGCAAAATTGACTTATCACTGGCATGCAAATATTCATCACACAAGGTACATAAATCTTTCTTTGGGCGAAAAAAACCAATGTTAAAACAGGTGTTAAAGATGTGAGAATACATAGAATGTTTTACTGCTGCATTACCTTTAATCTGGCAGTCCTCAAGGTAAAGCCTGTACATTTCTACAATAGTAAGTCCCCCATCAATAAATTCCCTTTGATTATCTTTGCGGCAATAGTGTGATTCGATTCGTGAAAATGTATTTATGTGATCAATTACACCTTGTCGTAAATATTCATCAAGTTTTTTATGATTATCGTGACATCCTCTAGCATCTGCTAAAACCAGACCGATATCATTTTTTTTTTGAAATTACGGTACTAATAGCTGTATTACTTAGGTCTAAAGTGGTTTTAAAAAAGAGTTTACAAACTTTTATCTTTTCATTGTCAATTTTAAAATGATAAGAATAATTAAGCGATCGTTTGCTCTCTTGTTTAGCATTCCGATATTTTCTTGCTTTAGTTGGGCTTATACAAGAATTTATGAAGTTCCTCTGATTATTCTTATCACCACATTTTTCATAAAAACTTGTAAAAATGTTTAGTCTCTTTTCATGATTTATTTTCTGGCTGCACTGTAGCCTACAAGTTTCTGTGCAACCCTGCTGTAGTCGTTTACTTCTCTTGATGTTTCCCCCTTCGAACAAATATTCTTTTCCGGTATTAACCTTTTTTTTTTTAAATTTCGGCGCCATGTTGATGGATTTCTGATATTTTTTTTGACTTTTTTTGGTAACACTTTATCATTACTGCGCGAACTCGTATTAGAGTCCTCGTCTTCTGGAGAATAATCCATATCGGCATCACTAACTTCGAATGGACTAGGAACATCTACCTCTTCGGAATCATCATTAAATTTCTGGTTTTCTCCAAAAAATACCTTGAGGTCCCGAAGGTTATTTTTTACATCTTTTTTTTCTATTCTAAACAAATATGTTTGAGTTTCGTTTTCTCTTTCAAGCCAAACATCACCAGGCTAAAAAACAACCGATTTATGAAAACGACTCTTAGAAGTTATACCTATATACCGGCAAACTTACCATCGTGATGTTCTTATTACCGCTTATTTTTGGCTTAATATCTTTCCGTATTTGAGAAGAATTATTCGGATTCTATAAAAGAAATAATCAATATTCTATGTATTTAGAACACCCTGTATATTTACTTACTATATCTACAACAGGTCCACTTTCTGGTGAAACAATACATCTTGCGGCTTCTTGGAGAATTTTTTTCGTTCTAATTGATTTCATAATTTAAACTTAAACGACCCTACCCGCCGACAGACTAAATTCAGACTGAAGACTGACAAGTTTGAACAAAAATATTTGGTTCCATCAAAGAGCGCCCCACCCTATGGTAGATATATTTGACAGTGTAATACTAGGACAACTTATAAAACCGAGATATCTTAAAATATATAACTTAATACTTGGGAAAAGAGTGAGACTTCTTAAAATATCCTACTATTTCACCAACAAAAATGTAAAATAACGATTCCCAACTCAAACGAAAGAAAGAGACATTTTAATATATCTTACTATTAACTTAAAAACTAATTAAAATGTATAAATTGCAACACTAAGATATAAGTTAGACTGTGCCCAAATAAATGAATTTTGTATATCTGACTATAGCACCAGAAAGAGCTTTTTTTACATTGTAATGATCCGGATAACTCAAAATCGGCATTTTTTAAGTTGTCCTAGTATTGTTCTAGCACAGCGATATTTTATATCCATTCTACCTAAGAAAAGGCAAAGTCCCTAAGACCAATAAGTCTTATGTCCTTCGTACTTAAGACTTTGGAAAAACTGCTAGATAGGCATATTAGAGACGGGATATTGGTTCAAAGGCCAATATACCAAGACCAATACGCCTATAGAGCAGGGAAATCAACTGAAACAGCTCTCCATCAACTAATAAAAAGGGTGGAGAACACACTGGAAAACAAGGAGGTAATGCTGGGAGCATTCTTGGATATCGAGGGTGCATTTGACAATACCTCCGTTGAATCGATCATTAGATCTCTCAAACACAGAGTAATCGAGATTTAAGTCTTTTTTATCTGACTGAGTTAACAGAAAAGACGCTTGAAAATTAGGAAGATTGGAACGAAATTTATGCAAATGAAACCCTGCTTGAGAATATTTGTAAGGATGATTTGTAACTGATATATTTCCTCTTCCGAATTTGCTCTTGTGGGAATATCATCCACATATGTATGTGCCAATAAAGCTTTTTGAGCTGAAGCATGCTGAGGGTTCCTAAGAGCAATCTCTTTCAACACTCTGCATGCAAGATAGGGTACACTTTTTTGACCAAACGAAACTGTAGGTAGCTCAAGACAGGAAAAATTATCTGAGGGGGAATCTCTCCAAAGGGCATTTTGTAAAAAATGGAATCTTGGGTTAATATTAACTTGCCTATACATTTTTTCTATGTCCGCAGTAAATACTAGCCTAAAGGTTCTGAATCGGTTAAGAATGTCAAACAGTTCTGGTTGAACTCGAGGACCTTTTAATGAAATATCATTAAGGGAAAGCGAACTAGAGGATTTGCAAGAGAAATCAAATACAATTCTAATTTTTGTAGTAAGACTTTGTTCCCGAACCACACAGAAAAGAGGCACAAAATATTTGTTCTCTTGAAGAGAGTTAGTGAGTGATAGTGAAACAAGTTTTCCATGCCCTAATTCGATAAATTTATTTAGAATCTTTTTATATTCGTCTTTGAGAGAAGCGTTCTTTTCAAATTTTTCTTCTAGAGAAAGAAAACGGTTTTTTGCTGCACCAAACGAATCTCCCAATTCATTATAAGCTTGAGATTGTTCGAGGGGTAAATCTACCTGATACCTTCCAGTAGGAAGTATTAAGGTAGTGTTCTGAAAAATACTTTAAGCAAGTTTTCCTTGTTCTTTGTCGCAAGAGGGAGAGGAAATATTTTCCTATTCTAAAAATCTTTCCAAGAGTAAGTCGGGATTTTCTTCTACAGAGAAATTGACAATATGGAATGAATGAACAGTGGGAGATTTCGAAATTAGATATTTTCGAAGTATTGCCTCAGTTGAGTTTGAATTAGTGTAGGACACCCTTTGCCTAAAGAATAGGATAGATTAAATGTTTTATCTGCGAGCTTTTAAAATGAGGCGGTATATTTAACATTTGACTATTAATATAAATCTGAGGTAACTTTTGAGTAATATTCTCCACTATTGCACATGGTACTTTATAGGAGGTAGAGGAATCAAAATGAGGGAAAATGTCAATATCTGTCATTTGTTGCACATTACTTTAATTATTGCAAATCCCAGAGATTTGAGATCTGTGAGTGTATGGCTTAACACCTATTTTTTGAACAAGATAGAGAGTGATAAAAGACAATTGACTACCAGAATTAAGAAGGACTCTAGCGATTATATGACGGCCAGTTTTTGGATACAAGCAAACTTGAGCAGTTGTCAATAGTACGTGAGCACCTTTTGTTGTTAATAACAATGAGATTTTCTACGTAGTGACGGAGTGATTATTTGATTGGGAAGAGGTTAAGGGCATATTATGATCTAATATTTGCGATTAACATGTTTGTGTGGGTGCAGAATTATTGGGAGATTGGTGGTCGTATGAAGCTTGTGTTTGATTTTTGTATTTTGATTGGTGATCTTGAGAGCTGAAATTTGTTCCATGCAAAATAGAGTGGTGTTTCTTATGACATATAAAAGTTGAATGAGATGAATTGAATGTCGCGTACATAGACAATTAATACAAATATTATTAGATTTAACAAAATTATATCTGTCAGGTATTGACTTAATTCTGGACAATTGTATATTTTATGGCTATTGACTTCACAATAGATACAAATGTAATGTATTGAAGATGGTCGAGAAGAGGTAGAATTTTTAGAATATTGTAGTTGTGCGTATAAAGATACTTTAGGTTATTTCGTCTTGCCGTAAGATTTTTCATTGTAATCCAACAGTTTAAAAGATTAATTAAAGTTTTCTAAATTTGTATTTTCTAGGATCACACATCTTTCTTTTAAAAAATTTAGGAAATTTTGAAGATTTGGCAGAGTGCCGAAATCAGAAGTTTCTTCAAATGCCCTTCTCGTATTAAAATCTATTTTATGTTCTAAAATGTAAACTATAAGCGATTCAAACAGTTGTGATTTGGAGTAATTTAAATTGTCTAGTGCATCAAGAGTTGCTTTGGTATTTGCCACAAATTGCCTTAAAATTGACGCTTGACGTTCTTAAGTGGGCACTGCTTAAGATTTTTGTAGAGAACTTCGACTAGTGGGAATCTGAATATGTTTCTTATTTTAGCGGATACTGGTTTAGTGGAAATCTTCTGTGTGAAAATCTGCTGGGTCTTTTTTCTTTAAGTGGACCCTGCTTAATAGATCCAGATCGAAGGACCATGAATCAAAAGAGAAGGAAATTTTTTCTCAATTGTGATTTGGGGTGCTAACTTAGATTTTATTAAAACTGTGACTGGTTGTGATAAATCAATTTATTCGCTGGTCAGCATACAACTAGTGAGTAGCGGGAAGTTTAGGGCAACTACTGCTTTCTTTTTTGGTGTTGGTGTGGTTTTTTTTTACATAATACTGCTGTCACAAAAAAATAATATATCATTATGACAGTTACCAAAGCAACTCTTATATACAGGTTGATTACTTTTCTTGTTAAAAAGTGAATTTTTAGTCATTATATTAGTTATTGTTTAGGAATAAAAATTAGGTCGTAAACTTATTATTCTTTTATATTTTATTTTTTATTGTTTATATAAAAAAGTATTTAAAATTAAAAAAATTAAGCAATGTTGTTGAATTTAAATAGTTTCTTGGTCGTAGAAAAAATAGTGTATGCAACTCTCATGTAATGGCAATTGATACATGATCGTTGCATAATATACTATTATATAATAATTATTTTATTTACAATTCACAAAACATTTCTGTTTAGTGTTAGAATGTATTTATACTTTTGACACAAGCCTACTTTACATTATTTATAGTTGTTAATTTCGTTATGTCAAATCATTGGTACTAGAGGTGTGATATTTTTATCATCACAAGGGTGATATGTTTATTAACACGAGATAGATACCTACTTCTATTATTCAAAACAGTGTGCTATGTGTAGTATTCGTAGGTGGTCGTAGGAAAAGGTTATTATTATACATGGATCGGTGGTAGGAATCAGAACAGCTAGTATACTTTTTCCATTTTTTCTTTTTAGCTTTATTTTGCAATTGAATATCTTTGAATTAATATTAACGTTGAAACCATTCGGATATCGACAATCTACAAGCTTAATTTATTTCAAATTTTACGAAACGTCACACATGGATTTGGTTCAAAAAACCTTTCTCAGAGTGTATAATATTTTAGCAGATACAAGTAATGGAGACACTTAGTAGTACTATAGTAATATATAGAAGTATCTTAGTGTAGAGAGTTCTTTATACTTTTTGTAAAAGTCGTAAAATATAAAAAGGAAAAAAATTAAGTAATTATTGACTCACCTTCTTCTATTCTAGTAAAAGCATCCTCTTCACTTTGTTTGGAATATTTTAATACGACACTAACTAAAGAAATCATCCTCCAAGATAACTGGAACTTGTCCTTCACTCGATTGCACAAGTTCAGAAGAATATCTACCGTCTGACCTGTTGAAAAACGAATCAATTAAAAACAATATTTCGTTAACATTTTTCATAGGCATTTTTTTGTAACAGATTTGATATCATAAAATATGAGATTCGAGACAAAACTAGGCCTAATCAAAAAGTACACGGAGTCGACTTCTCGAGTCAATGAGAAATCGAAAATACAATTTTAGGTGCATATTTAGTGTCATATCCAAAAGAGCATAAACTTTTGGTAGTTTGATTAATTATTGGAATTAATTCGAGTACGGTCGAAAACATTGACTAGTCCCAGATGTACGAATGACCTTACAAATTTGTTATGAAGGAGTTACAAAATGAATCTGGTTACTTTGAAAAACATTTATTTCTTACTAAACTTGTTAACTTCCAAGAAATAATAATAATAAAGTGCCTTTATCTTTTATTGCCAATACATAAAAATATATAAGCAAAGTAATATTTATCTCGTAAATTGCTAGTCCTAATTGTACAAAATTTGGGGTACATCTATTGTGGGATAGGGAGATTCCAGATTTGATTTTTGCAATGTTGCCAGAGTTTCTGTTTCTCTTATATTATTAGTCACTTTGGTTGTTCAAACTGATCACATTGTATATTAAGTCATTCTTGGAATCTCCTATTCAATACGAGTTCAACCATATGTAACACTTATGATTTTATGTAGTCTAGAAGGTCTTAAATAAATAAAATAGAAGTCTGGCAACGCCTAATTGTCTCATAAATTTTTTAATACAAACTATTTTCAACTACGTAACAATTGAAAGAATACACTATTTTTAACATAATGGTTACTTTATCAAGTGTTTAAAAAGTTCTTCATTTGTGAGTTGACAGTACCCTAATCGATGATAGAGTGCATTTACCACATTTCTCCATGATTGTTTTATTTATTTAAGACCTTCCAGACTACATAAAATCATAAGTGTTGCATATGGTTGAACTCGTATCGAATAGGAGATTCCAATAATGACTTAATATACAGGGTGAACAATTCGAAAAATCAAAGTTACTAATAATATAAGAGAAACGGAAAATCTGGCAACATTGCAAATATCAAACCTGGAATCTCCGTATCCAAAAATAGGTGTACCCCAAATTTTGTACAATTAGGACTAGCAATTTACGAGATAATTGGCCGTTTCCAGACTTTTGGGCCACTCCGTATATAACAATAGCAATTTAATAAAAAATATTAAAAATGAATTTAAGAAATGGTAATAAAAAAGTATAAGTCAGTAATCATAATGTAATACAATGTTCTTATTGATTAGGTAATAAACTAAATTTTAAGCGGTTTTTAAGATGTTTTAAAGAATGCGTCCTTATTTCCAATGGAACAGTGTTGTAAATGTTTACAGCATTGTAAGTAAAACAACGGTTAAACCAGTGGCGGCTCGTAGTAATTGAAAATGGGTGTTCACTTTTTCCAATAATTTAATCATATGTAAGTTCGGATCAAAACTTTGAACAAGAATCAATATCGCTGTTTTTTATTATTATTTGAGTTTGTATTAAGAGGAGTATTTACTTGGCTGTAGAGCGGAGCATGCAAGGGTTTCGTAGTACCCCCACTTTTAAAGTTTATTTTTGACTTATTCTAAAAGAAAAAAATATATACGTATAGATAAAGGATAAATCTATGCTCCTCTGGAGACACTTTTTTAAAATTTGAAACTGTTTTTTCTAAAAAAAAAATACAAAACTCGACATTTTTTACCCATTTCCTCAATTTTTTTTAGAAAAAACTAAATTGAATTTTGAAAAAGTGATTCCAGAGGAGCATAGATTTAACCTTTACCTACACGTACATATTTTTTTCTTTTAAAAATAGTCAAAAATAAACTTTAAAAGTGGGGGTACTACGAAACCCTTACATTGCAAGATTTTTCGTCTGGAAAGTGGCGCCTCTGATAGATTTTTAAGAAATTAACATTTGTGAATGAAAACAATTTACTGATGTTTTACGAGGGATGAATAAATTTTACGTATTTGTACACCTTATTTTTTACGTAATTTAATTCTGTAATACTAAGATTGGTATATATATTATATGCAAGTGTTTCATAGTACACCAATTTTGCGGATTATTTTTTAATTTTACTAAAAGAAATTTTATGTACAGGTAAAGGCTTAACCCATACCACTCTGGAGTCACTTTAAAAATATGAATCAGTCTCTTTGGAAAAAAATCTAAGAAAAGAAACAAAAAGAAATAGAAATGTTAAAAAATGCTAGAACAATATATTTAATTTTTGCCTACAGGAGCATTTATTTTTATTACAATAAAAATAGAAATACGTTAAAGCTTTTTCGTCTAGAGGGCAGAGCTGTGCGGTATTCAAGTACATGTACTCGATAGCTGTACTCTAAGTACATTTAGTGTACTTGGTACTCAGTCCAGAGTACATTAGGATCCTATGTATTTGTACTTGTACTTTCACTGTATTGAGAACGTTTGTACTCAAGTACATTTTAGAGTACTCTAAGTACTTTTGAATGTACTTAAGTACTTCAGACAAATAAGTACTTTAAGTACTTTTAAAAGTACTTAAGTACTTTTGAATGTACTTAAGTACTTCACACAAATACAAATATTGCGCAGTTCATATTTGTTTAGACTTGTCTCAATCTCAGTCTGTCTGTTCCAACTGCCACGTGCAATGTTTGATTCGATTTGTCGGTAGCCGGAGAAGGTAGTGTTTTAAAAGTGCCGATCAGCTAAAGTTAAGTTAGTGAACTTCATCGTATAAATTATTCAATCTTTGTCGTGTAAATTTATGAGACTCAATTATTTGTAAAGGTAAGTGATTACGTATTTAGGTACTTTGTGCCTAAAAAATACCTCTATCTACGGAAGGCTGTAAAGGTTTTAATCATTATATTATACACAGATTGGTTTGGGTTTATGCAGAAAAATAATCTGTTTTAATCTAACTTTGTAGGTTAGGTATTAGCAGTATTTTTATCTTTGAAACTCAAACACTGTTAAACATATAAGAAATGTTGGTTTTTGAAGGGAGGAATAAATCTAAATAAAACTGAATAAAAAGCAATATACCGGGTGGTCCATTTGACTTGAGACAGATTCCCATTTCGACTGCATATCTCGGATTTTGCATGAAAATACGAGACCAAAACTGGCTACTTTACATCAAAGGCTGGGCCTCCTCCATTTTAAAGAAACTGAAATCCAGTATTTGGAAGATTATTGTCAAGTATTAAAGCCTTTGGCAACAGCTTCGGACATATTACAGGGTGAAACTAATACTTCCTTTGGTTATCTACTTCCAACATTGACTTCATTAGCCAACAAATGGAAGAATATGAAAGTCGATTTCCAGGGCCCTAGACATTACAGTGCAAATTTGATTTTGGACGCATGTCTTGAGGCACTGTTTAAACAGTTTTCCTCTGTTTTTCATTTAGAATGTGAAGAAGCACTAATAGCCGTAGTTTCTTGTCCAAAATTTAAACTTCGGTGGTTCAACACCCTAAAAAGTGAGCTACAGTCCCAGACAGGAATCTCACTGGACAGCTAAAACAAACATTTATTTCATGTGCTAAACGGCTGTTAGATTCTGAAAATGTTGATAATGACAATGACAGCAATGATAGTAATGAACACGATGCTGAAAAAGAATATGACGTTTTCTTTTTATTTTGACGAAATCGAAACATCAGAATCTAAGAAATCTCAGAAAGTAAACAAACACGATAAAAGAAGATCAAAAGTTGAGTTGGAGCTTTTACATTATCTTAAAGATAAGAGAACCGATCTGTCCATGCTGAATGACTATAAAAAACAATAAAAAAAAGTTTTTATACGGTATAATACATGTTTACCATCTTCTGCTGCAGTAGAGCGACTTTTTTCATTTGCAACAATGTTAAACGACCCTCGCAAATTTTGAAAAACTTGTAATATTAAAGGCAAATAAAATTGGTTCCTAGAAAGGTATAGATTTTATTGTTTTATTGTGCTCATATCCAGAATTAATTTACTAAATACAACACAAAATTTTCTGTACTTAGTATTTAGTTGCCCGACTGTGGATATCTAATATATTTAATCCTATAGTAGTATATACATATAGTATACAAAAGCCATAAGATTATACAATAAAAAATTAATTATTAATGTACTTGGTACTCTGTACTTATAAAAGTACTCGAGTAAGTGTGCTTTTCTACGTTATGCACTTGGTACTCGAGTACTTTTTGGGAAGAGTACTTGTATTCTGTACTTAAGTACTTTTTTCTTATACTTGGAATAGCTCTGCTAGAGGGTGACACCAACAAAATATATATCTTTGTCTACTATTTAGTGATTTGAATTCATGTTATTTTTTACATACAGTAATTTCGCTCAATTATATTAAATTAATTTTATTTATGTATTATAAAATATATATCCGAAATTGGAAGGTATACACTGAGATGTGAATTATAAATATGTTTTTGTTTAATGAATACCTCTTCGAGTCAACAATAATTATTAATTCCAGCATGTTAATATCTCTTCAATCCGTTAAAGTAATGTAAATATTTTTTCTTGCTTTCGCACATGGCTTTGACTGTCGCACCATTTGAGGCGCGTTGCAAGAGAAATTTTTCTAAAAAGTTAGCCAATGTCTATAAATGAGAGAAAAACGATTGTGACAAGCTGATTTTGTATTGTGGAAAAGACGGAAATGAGTCACTGCTTTAAAATTTTGAGAAATTTTTAAAAAATCTCCTAAAATCTTTTATTTAGTTTTAAAGCCACCCGATATGGCATGGACCATAAATTCAGAGCAAAATAAGATTTTTTTTCTATATAACTTCTTATCGAGACATTGTGAGATAAAAAAAACAGACAATTAATTAAAAGCGTACTCACAATTTTTTAGGTATAGAAGTTTCAATGCTATACTGTTTTCCAAATTATGAAAATACTAAAGAATATTAAAAAAAAGAGCCAATTAAAGAATGTGTTAATATCTACAGAAGAACATCGT